TTACTACAATCATGGCATCAAGGCAGGTGGTGCTGTACATGTGACAAGGAGAGCTTGCTGTACACAGCATGGAAGCCACTGTCACCAATAGGCACCCTGTCCTCCAACGTCAGGGATCAAAACTCTCCCCGGTGATTGCTGCTGATCCCAGAGCACAAGTCCAAGGTGCTGGGAGTTATCACTGGGCTCCCCCTGTGTCCGAAGTCCCCACCTCTCTGACTGAAGCGAGTTCTAGGGACAGGGCCCAAAATTCCCAACCCAGCATTTTGTTTTTCCCCTCCTTTTGAGAGCCAGACATTAACGATGAAGACATTCTCTCCATCTCATCTTGCCTTTCAATCAAATATACCTTAATCAACCGAGTCTCTTGTATCTATCAAAACAGCCCTTTAAAAGTGAGAAATTAAGATATTCCCCAATAAATAAAAGCTTGACATGACTTGTGGCAATTAGACCTGACTTGGAATAAATAATAAATGGTCAAGGAAATCCAAAGATATAAAAGCAAAGAACATTTAGATAGTAAATCTCTATTTAAAAATACAGACCTCAAAGAAGGGAAGGGAAGAAAAAATACAAATATGTAGGAGTTAATATATAACTCTTATAAACAGATATAATATCTAAATGTAAGATCTAAAATTATGAAACTCCCAGAAGAAAAGCTTTGATCATATTGGATTTGTGAGAATGATTTCGAAGATATGACACTGACATCACTGATAGGAAAAATACAAATTGGATTTCTTGAAAATTAAAGCTTTGTGCATCAAAAGCAAGTTACCACACAAGAAAGGAACAATTCACATGAAGCTGAGTGTGCGCAATTACACACTACATAATTTCTGTTTTGTAAATTTAAAACTTCTCTGAAATAAACTTTAAAAAAACAACAACAAAAAAGGGTATTTATCAGCATAGTAAGAAGGCAGTCCACAACTGGGATATAATATTGGCAAATCAAGAAGTCAAGATCTAAATATCATTTAAATAAACTTCTAAAACTCCACAAAGAAACTAATCAGATTTGAAGGAATTCTGTTAATCTTTTCTCCAAAGATTCGCAAATTGCCAATAAGCACATGAATTATGGTTATTCTACAGATGGAAATTACAATGATGTAGTACTGCAATCCTATCAGACTGTCTACTATCCAAACAAAATAGAAGGCAAGTACTGGTGAGGGTGCAGAGACACGGGAACCCCTGTGCACTACTGACAGCAATGGAACAGGGTGTAGCCACGCAAAAAGTACAGCTATTCCATAAGACTTTAAAGACAGAATTCTCACATAATCCAGCATTCCAGATCTAGGTGTGTGCCAAAAATAACTGAGACAAGTTCTCAAAAATATATTTGTACACATATGCTCATAGCAGTATTATTCAGAAAAGCTAAAATATCTAAACAATTCAAGTGTTCATAGATAGATAAATAATATACTATAAATGGTACAAGTAAGAGTAATGCCAGAAGCTCATGGAAAAAATAAAATCTAAAATTAGGTGCAAAAAATGCCAAAATCTGCAGGCTCTGGGGGTGCGGCCTGTGGGGATTTAAACTGGTGAGTTCGAGCTCAGAGCTGGAGTTTAGACTGGTTCACCTGTAGAGGGGTAAGAAGCTGCTTGTGATTAGAGATGAGTGACATTGTACATTAGAGCGTGATGCTTCTAGTTTAATGTCTGTAACAAACCCAACAGGGCTTTCCTGCCTGCAGTCACAGGTTCTTAAACTCATTTCTTCTTTGGTTTCTCTCAATAAGAGAAGTTTGGATCAGCGTGAACACTGGGATGTTCACCTACAATGTGTTCGAGTTATAGGCATTTAGCTCCTGACAAAGAAACTACACACATGGCAGCAGTTACAGAGCCACACCATTGTGGCCATTTGGGACGTGACCTTCTCAGTGTGCTTTTCAAATAAATAAATCTTTTTTTAAGGACAACAACAACAACAAAAGCTAAAATCCTCATCATTTTTTTCATCACACACATTTTCCATGAATTTTTTTCAAGTCCACAGATACACAAACTGGAATATTTATCCCTAACAAGGACAATATTCTGACATATGCTAAAACTTTAAAGTGAAATAAGTCAATCAAAAATGACAGAAACTACGTGACTCCACTTTTATGGGCAGGTATTCAGTCATCAAAACTCCTGGTGTGGCTGCCAGGGGCCGGGAATGTCAGAGAAAAAATTATTACTGTATAGTTTGTTTTATAACATGAATACATTCGATATCAATGAATTCAATAAAGACTTTGAAGTAAATTTTATACACATTTTTTTTAAAAAAGAAAGCTTAAAAAAAGTTAATGCAGTCCCAACAAAATTATCAATTCTTTTGAAAACTTTTTATTTTTGCTGATTTTTACATATTTGATGGGGGCAGAGGATCGAGGGTTAGGGGAAAGAGGAAGAGACCTTGTTTCCATATTTTCTTTTTTCTTCCTAAATTTGGGGGAAAGAGGGAAATAAGGAGATAAGTCTCACCCAACCTCCCAACCACCTCAGCACCCAGGGATGGGGAACAGCCACCCAGTGGGAGCCACAACACAGCAGGGGTGTCCCCTTAGTTCCCCAACCAGGTCAATTCTCAGCCACAGATCCTGTGCGCATCAGTAGTTGCTCTGACCCAGTTCAGCATAGTTCATCCCTTCTTGTCTTGGCCTTTGCCATCAGACGCTGCAGCCTGGCCTGGCCTGGCCTGCCCCATGTCCCTACATTCATTGGTGGGTGCTGAAGCCTAGCCCTGCCCAGTCTACTTCCATTTCTGGCTTTCTTGCAAACCTGTAGGAGTAATAGCATAGTGCGGCATTACCTGTACTACAGCCTAGCTCCTGCACACGCCAGGGGGCTAAGCTCAGCCTGGCCCCACCCAGTCCTGCATAAGTAGGGAAATGTTAGAAAACTGGCATTAAAACTTAACATGAAATCTTTATAATTGAAATAGTATGACAGCAGAATATGAACAAGTCACCAGTTTAGAGAAACAAAGTCCAGAAAGTACCCCAGGGATACATGGGAAATTATAATAAAAGTATCAGAACAAATCACTGAGGGAATGATAGATTTTTAATCAAAGTAGAGGACAGGGAGCTGGTGCAGTGGCATAGCAAGTTAACACTCCATCTGTGGCAGCACCATTTCATCTGGGTGGCAGTCATGTCCTGGCTGCTCCACATCTGATCCAACTCTCTGGTAATGGCCTAGGAAAGCAGCAGAGTATGAACCAAAGCCTTGGGCCCTCGCACACATAGGGGAGACCGGGAAGAAGCTCTTGGCTCCTGGCTTCACGTCGGTGGGACGGCACCAAAAGAATATTAAGATCTCACTTAAAGGAGTTCCAAACACCAAAGATCAGAAATTTTAGGCAGTAAAATTAGACTACAGAAGAAAATAAGTCCGTTCACCCATATTGATATAAAATCATGTGTCATGTAACATTCCAATCAACAATGGACAGCAGTCTCTGAGGCTACAATGAAGCTGAAAACATTTTACAATCTAGCGATCCAGCAATCATTATTAAGTGATAAATCAGTGCATTACTCCTTGTTTGTAATGACACTGTAATTAACACACCCACTATACCATCAGTTGTACAAAAGTATGGAACATATGAGACAGTCCATAATACTGTATAAAAATGGTAATGTTACTAGTTTACATATATGTTACTGGTTTACATATATACACAATTTTAATCATTTTCCAGAGTATATTCCTATTTATTAAAAAAAAAAAACAACTTTACTACTAAATTGTGTGGTGTGTTACGCTGGCAGCAGCCTTACATCTCGTGCTGACTGGGCCTCACATTAAACAGTTTGAATGGCTGATCTGCAACATCTAGATATTTTCAAAGTACACTCTGACATATGCACAGTGATAGAATTAGCAATCACGTATTTTTTAAAAATTTTTTTATTTTTTTTAATTGGAAAGACAGATTTACAGAAAGAAGGAGACATAGAGAGAAAGATTTTTCATCTGCTCATTCACTCCCCAAGTAGCTACAATGGTCGGAGCTGGGTTAACACAAAGCCAGAAGCTTCTTCCAGGTCTCACACATGGGTGCAGGGTCCCAAGGCTTTGGGCCATCCTCGACTGCTTTCCCGGGCCACAGGCAGGAAGCTGGATGGGAAGTGGAGCAGCTGGGACACAAACCTGCACCCATACGCAGGATGAGGATTTATCCAGTAGGCCATCTTGCAGGACCCCTGACCACATATTTCTAAGCCCCACATAACTACCAATATTTAGAGGAAAAGAAAATGCTCACACAGGAGATGTTTAATTATAAATGTAGAAGGAATAATGAGAATGCGAAAAAATTACTATTTGGCAAACATCATAATCACTGTTTCAGTCAAGAATTTTCAATGAATGCAATAACTGGTGAGAGAAAATATATGATGAACATATTCACATAGCGACAAAGTATCACATAGACATCTATAAGGTAATTATAGAACAAGGTCAGAGTGGACAACATGGCAGACAATACCTATATCCAGTAGTCAAAGTTGACGTCAGCAGTTAAAAGGGACAAATCATGAAATTTCTGAAACAACCCTCTAAGGACATATGACATGTTACCTTTGCTTAAAAACAACAACAGCAACAACAAAAAAAAAAACCCCTGTAACACAATGTAATGCAATCCCAAAACTGAGATATTCCACAAAAGAAGACTCTAGAATTAACTAAGACTAAAGAATGCTAAATAAAGGCAATATGTGAACCCAATTTTGGACCAGAAAGAGGCTGTCTCTGGGACAATTGCTAAAACTTCAAACAAGTAAATCAGTTTGGTAACAGTGGTGTTTATCCGAACTGCTAGTGACATTACCACTGATAACCAGTCTTGACTAGTACCAACATGACTCTATAAGGTATTATATTAGGCAGAGCATAAACAGGAATTCTTTACCCTACCTTCATATCCCAATATTAACTGAAATTGTATAAAAGATTTTTAAATGTATTACCTAACGCTCTGCAGCTCCCTTCTGGCTGCCTCTTCCGCCGTCTGGGACGCCCGCAGCTTCTCTTCACACTGATCCTTCTCTGCTTGCCTCCAGATGTCACGTTCCTCTTTTATCTTCTCTAGATCTGCTAATCTGTTCTCAAGTTCTAGTCTGAAACAATAACCATTTATAAAAGTACTGATTGTATCCATTTACAAGCAGATTTAGTACAAAGAAAGGAACTGAGTACTTACTTTTCGTTTTGTAACACCGCAAGTTTCTGATAACCTTCTTCCTTGGCAGCTTGTACTTTACGTATTAATTCACGATCCTTTTCTACTAAGAGCATTTTGTGATGTTCAACAGCTGATGTGAGAATTTCATTGTCTGACTGTAATCCTAGTATTTTTTTAGAGACAAAGGTACTATGGTCAATGTTACGGTGAAAAATCATTAACAGCATTCATAGTCTGTTAAGAAAATTAAAACACTACAGAAAATTATTCTGGATATGTTTCCAAAAGTCCTTACATCTCTGATTAAACTAAACTAAATACAGGCTGTGTGGTGTAGTAGTGTGTTAATTCTACATTCTGAGGTGCCAGCATTCCACATGGATGCCAGTTCTAATCCCATCTGGTCCACTTCCAAACTAGCTCTCTGTTTATGGCCTGGGAAGGCAGCAGAGGATGGCCCAAGGCCTTGGGACCCTGCACACCCACGTGAGCGACCAGAACAAGCTCCTGACTCCCACTTTCAGATGAGCTCAGCTATGGTCACTGCTACCATATGGGGAGGGAATTAATGGATGGAAACTTTGCCTTTCCTTCTCTCTGTAAAATCTGCTTTTCAAATGAAAATAAATAAACCTTTAAAAAAGAGAACTGATCTAAATAGACAACGTTGTTAATCCAAGAAAGATGGAATCCCATTTGCAATTAATTTATTAATCAAGTAACATTGACAAAAAATGCAAGATCCACTAGGAAAAAAAAACTGACATGACAGAATGAGTAAAATCTCAATACGTAAAGCATTCCATTTGTAATTCAAAATTAAGATTTGGGGACTGGCATTGTGGCACAGCAGTTGAAGTTGTCGCCTACAACACTGGCAATTCTATATGAACACAGGTTCAAGTCCCAGGTGCTCTAGTTCTGAACCAGCTCTCTGTTAATGAGCCTGGAAAGGCAGCTGAAGATGGCTCACGTGCTTTTGTCACTCATGGGGGGGACCTGGACGGAGCTCTGGGCTCCTGCCTTCAGGCTGGCCTTGTCCTGGCCATAGTGGCTGTGTGGGGGAGTATACCAGTCAGTGCATGCAGGATCTCTGTCTCTCTAGTGGATGGACTAGCTCTCTCACTAACAGATGGAGTATCTATCTCTTTCTCTCCATCTGTAACTCTGCCTTTCAAATAAATTAAAATTTTTTAAAGAAAACAAACATTTTAAAACAAAATTCAACTGAGGTGAGGATCTGAAGATACAAAATCTGGCTGATATTTTTCATAACTTGAGTCTACACCTAGAAATAATCATGAAAAACATAGAAATCATATATTACCATTGAGTTCACTTTGAATCTTATTCCTTTCTCTTTCTAGCTCACTCTTAGCCCGTGCTGCCTCCAGTTTGATGTCTGTTATTTCTAGTTTGTTTGAATGCTTAAGTTCTTTTACCTGTTGATAATTGAGAGATTGAAATTACTACAAGTCATTTTCTCTACATTCAGTATTTATCCAACAACCTAAGTGTAAAGGAGAAGACACTTTGGTAGTGGAGTATGGAATGTAAGAAGGGAAGGTGTTTCTGTGCCTGGCATAGTGCTTGGATTGAGGAGACATCAAGAAAATGTTTTTTAATACAACTGAGACATTTCTTTATAGATACTAGTCCAACTAGCTTCATCTTACATTAAAAGACTTAATATCTTCAGAGTAAAAAAACTAAAAGCTTCCTTTTAATAAAGTATCAAGGACAAAAAAAAAAAGGCCATGCTAGGTAGAAAGAACAACATATAAACTGTCGCTGATGAGTTACACCACATGATCTGATCTGCAACCAACCAGGAATGTGTTACAGACAGAGTAGAGAGACAGCAACTCCACAGAGGAACGGCAAGAAATAAATTCAGTGAGTCATACAACAGGCTGTTTATCCCGTTAGCTACTGACGATGACACAATTAACTTTGCTTCATAAAGTTAAATGTAAATGTGCTCGATTAAGAATCGAAAGCAAGTAAATCAATCAACAGGCAAGGAATAAACAGGGCACGATGAGAGAATCAGTTGGATGTGGTGACTAAATAATTTCTGTGTCTAAATATTCCTGCATAAGGAATATGCAGAGCTAGCATAAACTGCATAAACTTAATTTAATCTTCTCTCACCAAAACCTGATTCTTTTAAAGCCTCAAGTGAATAACTGACAATTCTTTCCAAGCAATTAAGCCACCACAAATCATTTTACAATCTTTCCTGAGTCACCTCTTTGAAAGCTGAAAAATTCCAGTTCATAAACAGTATTCATTCAGTGAATATTTACTGAACATGTATTACGTGCTAGGTAATGTTTTAGGAGCTGGACATACAGCAATGAAGAAAACGTTGCCCCTCCAATCAACTGAACTATTCTCTAAGGTTTTTCTTTGCATTTATCTCTGGAAAGGTATTTTTAAAAACTGACATAACATAAATAGAATTTAGCCAAAACAGATTTTACATAAATGAAGATTGCCTCATGCACTAATGCATAAAACTATGGAATCAGAGGGGAAAAAACAAAATGTACACAACTCAAATACATACACGGAGATAGTAGGAAGGGAAGGGTAGAATAATTTAGAATCCCATAAAAATTGGAGCTGAAAGTTAGAATGAAAACAAGTCTCCTACAATCAAAAGAGTAAGAATAATGAAACAGAAGCATCCTACTAGAAGAGATTCTGTCTAAGATCCTAGAAAGGTTGAAAGGAATAGGACTTGCAAAATCTTCACTTAGGGGAACCAACAAAAATTACGCTACCTCTGCACTTCAAACTATGAAGGTATCCTTCCAAATCAACTTGCTGACTTTTAAAATCACACTTTACGGGCCCAGCACGGTGGCGCAAGTGGTTAAGGTCCTCGCCTTGCACGCCCAAGATCCCATATAGGCGCCTGTTCTATCCCGGCAGCCCCGCTTCCCTTCCAGCTCCCTGCCTGTGGCCCGGGAAAGCAGTCGAGGACAGCCCAAAGCTTTGGGACCCTGCACCCACGTGGGAGACCCGGAAGAGGCTCGTGGCTTTGGGTCGGCATGGCATCAGCCATTGTGCTCACTTGGGGAGTGAATCATCGGACGGAAGATCTTCCTCTCTGTCTCTCCTCCTCTCTGTATATCTGCCTTTCCAATAAAAAAAAAAAAAATCTTAAAAAAAAAATCACACTTTACAAAATGGCTACATTTTGATGACATTAGTTTCACGTTCTTAAATCTTTCTCAAGTTTTTTTTTTCAGAAAAGCAAACCCCACAGAATATCTGATTACATGAATGTGACTAAGAAACTGTAATGATTTTAATACTTAAACTTCCTGTAGAATGAATTTTATTACATTATAATTTCACGGACAGCTTAGAATTTAAATTATAAATGCTTTAAAATTGTAAAAATGTACAACTACAATGAAAGCCCAATCACTGTGACAAATGTAATTATAACCTAAGTGGAATTATATTATAAACTGACTGGAAAAGGTTAAGAATTATAAACTATTATAAACTAACTGGAAAAGGCTAAGAATGACACAGCAGTTCACTAACAAATCACAATGTAGACGCTTTCAACTAGTAGAGGAAAATTACAGAGCCATCTTATTTTGTAGGAAGTTGATGTATTTCATGGTAACTTCAAACTATGAGAAAGACCATTTCTCAACTCATTGCACCTTGAGATTTGCTGAAATTAGAAAATAGTTTTAACTTAAAGATAATTATTAAAACTGAAAGAACATAGGATATCATGTTACAAGTCTGACTTCCAGATTTGTATGGATGTAAGCACTCATCTTCTCCACACTCACATTCAATCACAGATGTTGAATTTTTCAACATAGTCATTTTTATAATCCTAAAATAATGCATTTAAACTAACAATTGCTAGCTTTCAAAAAATATACAAGGAACTAAATTACATTTTGAAAATAAAACATTATATATTTACTATCTAATAATGACAATTGCCAGCGTTTTTCCACGAGTAACCTGAGTCAAATTGTAAATAGCCGTAGTGAGATTTCTTTCTCCCTCTAAATTTCTGATTCTTAATCTTCCTTCCTATAAGGTCATGAAAATCCTAAGAAAATTAGGAGCCTTTCTCTAAATACGCACATATTATTAAAATATTGCACAAAATTTCAAGAGATCAAGGTCCTAGTATTTAGAGATTATTTCAAAGAAAGCTGTAACAAATGTCAAAACAGAAATGGCAGGCATTTTACAGGGCCACAGAATCTATTAAATATCTAGGCGAACGGAGACTCTAAGGTGGACTATGTCAGCCAATGGACATTCGAAGTATTTCCTCATCTCTGGATCGGGGAGATCGACAACATTTCAGAACTATCGAAGCCACCTGGGCAGAACCCTTGGCGCGTGCTCCACGTCAGGACCCTGGTTGTTTCCCATCCCCGGGTGCTGGGGGAGTTGGAAGGTTGGGCATGGCTTCTCCCCTGGTCTCCTCCCTCTCTTCAGAAACAAGAAAAAGAAGCAGAAAATTCAGAAACAACGATTACACCCACTTCTCCCTGACCCTCAATCCTTCCCACCCTTACACCCTGATCAATTCTGCAGGCATCATCTAAAGCAAAAATCGGGGGGTAGGGGGGGACCAACATGCATGTCCACAAGACATAAAACCAAACAATATATAAGCAACAAACAGAAACACAGTTTTTAAGCATACTACTCAAGAAGTACTATATGTAAATTCCTCAAAAATGGTTCTTTGTCAAAGCCCTATGATGGCACAGCCTCAGCAACTTGGCTAATAAAGGCAATTCTCTAACTGCTTCCACAAAACCATTTAAGTTCTTCAGATCAAAGATTCCATGAGGTAACGGGAGAACTGACCTTCTTGAAACTAACACAGCTTTGAGGTCATCATATTCAGGCCATCTTTAATGATATATTTTAATATAAGACAGCCATGTTGATATAACACTTATAAAAGCCAATAAACATTTACAAATTTGAGTAACACCCCAGGTGTTCTTTTGCATTGCAAACACCCATTTGCTAGAATGCCAAAATATTGATTAAAATTTCAAGTTGCAAAGAAAACTGTGACTGTCATGTTTGAAATTTAATTTTAAAATTTTTCTTTCCCATGGATTCTTGGTTTCTAATACTCCACTTATATGCAAAATAATGCAAGTGTGCTTTTTAAAAGACAAGTAATTCTTAGCAATGAGTGTTCATAAAGAAGCAGAAGTCATCTACACTTTAACTTCAAAAAGCAACACATTGGAACAGGGTATATGAACAACAACAACAAAAGAATCAGCACACAGGTGAGCCCAGGGGCTCAAGTAAAATGTACAATAGGAAAAACTCATCCAAGACAGTGAGAAAGCTTGCCACTACACCTGGCTTCTGGTTGTTCCAGTAGTATGGTCTAACTACTTAGGTTCAGGGCAATCTGGTGCAAACACATTACAAAATGGAAAATAATTACACCAGAATTAGAAACATCAACGAACGTCTAAACTGTGAATTAACTTTTTTTTCATTCTTTGTGTATCTTTCTGCAAACTTTGTATTTTTAAGCATTCAATATGTATCTGTTAAATGTGTAAGTAACCTACTTCATCAGGAACCAAATTAATAATTTATTTTCTAGTAAGACACACTGTAGCAAACTGGAAGGCAATCTTAGGGATCAGAACAATGCCTCTTTCCACCTAAGAGGAAAGTGGTTCCCAATGATTTTAAGTAACTTGCCTAAATTTATACTTACTGATACAGTGAGAAAGACTAACCAGTGGTTCAAAAGTCTACTGTTACATCATGTTCTCATTGAAGAATACCATTAACATCCAATAACTGCCATTATCATTTTTAATCATTAGCAACTGCACTTAAATTTTGCTGACTAAAACTTTCCCCTGGGTCAAAGACACTGTCTCTCAAGTGATTCCTAAGTCAAGAAATTAGGTAATTACAATGCACAGTGGTCTGGGAGCCACCTTAATTTTAATGCATTTTACAACACTATACTGACAGAAAATGCATGATACTAATGCAGAAACCAGTCTTATTTTCAACTTCTTAGAAATGCCACAAGTACTACCACTAAATACTGAAGTGACTGTCTATAGATTTTATGCATAACATTTCCTTTAATTTTTCCACACTCTGTAAAGTAAATATTAGTTCCATCTTATGGCAAGGCATCAAAGTTTAAAAGAGAATTTTCCAAAGATCACATAGCTAATAAAGTGAAGAATTACAATCTGAATCCAGCCTGACTCCATAAGTGATATTCCATATGACGTTTTTATACCATTGTATCATTGCTATTAAATTTGAGTGGGAAAAAACCTTGAGAGTTCTATAAAAACTCTGTCCTCAAAAAGATATTTGGGAAACAAGTTATTACATTCTTTTAATGATAACACAAATTCACATCATGTGCTGATATTCATTACAGACATCTTGGCGGCTGGCACTGTGGAGTAGCAGGTAAAGTTCCTGTCTGTAGCTCCAACATTCTAGTTGAGTCTCAGCTATCTAAATTCTTCTAAACAGCCTAGGAAAACAGCAGAAACTGGCCCAAGTGCATGGAGCTCTGCACCCACAAGGGAGACGAAGAAACTCTTAGCTCCTGGCTTCAGACTGGCTTAGCTCCAACCATTGCAAGTGTTTGGGGAATGAACCAATACTGGAAGATCTCTGGCTCTTTCCCCCTCTCTCTGCAACTCTGCCTTTCAAATAAACTCAGAGAGAGAGAGAGAGAGAGACAGGGAGAGATATGGAGAGAGAGGGAGGGAGAGAGGCGGTGGGGGGGGGGAAGAGAGAAAAACAGAGAGAAGGGGGCCCAGTGCAATAGCCTAGTGGCTAAAGCCCTCACCTTGCATGTGCCAGGATCCCATAAGGGCGCTGGTTTTAATCCGGCGGCCCCCTTCCCATCCAGCTCTCTGCTTGTCACCTGGGAAAAGTAGTCAAGGATGGCCCAAAGCCTTGGGACCCTGCACCCACGTGGGAGACCTGGAAGAGGCTCCTGGCTCTTGGCTTTGGACCAGCTCAGTTCTAGCCGTTGCCGCCACTTGAGGAGTGAACTATCAGACAGAAGATCTTCCTCTTTCTCTCTCTCCTCCTCTCTGTATATTTGACTTTGCAATTAAAATAAATAAATCTAAAAAAATAAACTGAGCCTATGGCATTGGGGCGAGGAACTAACAGGCAGTCCTCCACCCGTGGCTCTGGCGTCCCATATGGCCACTACTTTGTGTCCTTGCTGTTCTCCCATTTCCGAGTTCCCTGCTTGTGTCCTGGAAAAGCTACACAGGGTGGCTCAAGTCTTTGAACCCTGCACCCATGAGGGAACTGTAAGGAGCTTCTGGTTCCTGGCTTCCAACAATTCCAGCTCTGGCAGTTGCAAATATTTGAAAAAATGCAGCTGATGGAAAAATGTCTCACACCTCCCCATTCCACTAACTTTCCAAGTAAAATAAATGAATCTTCAAAAAACTAAACGAAACAAAACAAACCCTGAGCCTAGAGGGAAGCCTTCAGTTCAGCAATGAAATGTCAATTGGGGCATCCACATCTCCTGTTGGAGGACCTTCATCAAACTGCTGGTTCCAGCTCCCAATTTCAGCTCCAGTAGTTGGCTCCCCGCCATTCACTTGAGAGACCTAGCAGGAGGCGTGGCTCCCAACCCTGAGCTATGCCAGTTCTCCTCATTCCATGTACTGAGTCAATCAGCAGATACAAGCTTTCTTAGTCTACCTGTCCACACTCCCACCGCATGCCCACATATCAACAATGACAAAAATGACAAGTCAAAATTGAGTTTGCAGAGATCAGATCTTGAACTAGAGTAGTCACTGTGAGGGTGGTAAGAATCAAGGCTCTCCATGTATTTGGAAGGTAGAATAAAGGTTTCAAGATAGAGAATAAAAATATTGAAGCACAAAATTTGTCATTGTAGCTAACATTCTAAAGAACAAAATACAAGATGATCTATTTTACTGATCAATGTACTTATTTTTGGAAAGCAGCATGATATGGTAAAACAAGATTTCAACACAGAAAACACAAACAAAATTTGTTATCATTCTACAGCATGAATGAAGCCATAAAGCACTCTGGAGAATGAAGAGAAGCGTAAAGACAACTTACTTTACTCGTCAATGTATTTATGTCTCGTTCAGCTTTATGCAACTGACCAATTAAAAGAGTGTTTTGTTCACTGTTGGACTGTAGCTCTTTTTCCAAGTGTTCAGCCTGTAGTCTAGCTGACTGCTTTTCAGCCTTTTGTTAAAACAAAATATTATTAAAATCTTCCACAATTATATAAAATAAAGTAAGCATTCTTTAAATACATACACATTTATCCAAAACTTCAACAATGTCAGCATGGACCAAAGTAGCAAGAATTTCCTCAACCTAACCAGTAGAACCCAAATGGAAGATATTTATTCTAGGAAACATTCAACAAAGGTTATCTGGACGAATAACATGCCAACACTCATCAGCAAAAGAACATTCCTACACTTTTCTCAAGCAAGGAAGTACTATAGGATTTGTTTGCATTCACTTTTCATGTTGACAGACTTCAGACAGTTTTGGGGGGGCAGTTTCCGGTCTATAGCAGATTTGACAAACAAAATGTGGAAAAAATGATCAATGACGGTAATACTTACAAAAAGGATAACTAAAAATCTAAAGTCAGATTTTTTTCTAAAAAGGAAAAGAGCATGGCTGAAAAAATCCTCAACTAGCTGGAGCCTTTTGAAATAGGGGCAAAGAAGCTCTTGATCCCACCACGGAATTTAAACTCTCAGTGGGGTGTCAGGAGGAAGCTGGGTAGCCACACAGCAAATTAACCCATGGCCTGCAAAGCCTGCATCACATACGGACACATGTTCAAGTCCTGACTGCGGCACTTCCAAAAGAGCTCCCTATTAATGGGTCCACTGTGGCAAACCTAGACGAAGCTCCTAGGTGCTGCCTTCAGCCTGGCTCAGATCTGGTTGCTGTGGCCATTCAGGGAGTGAACCAGATGATGAAAATTTCCTTCTCTGTCTCCTGTCTTCCCCACTTCCTTCTCTGTGTAACTCTGATTTTCAAACTAAAAATGAATAAATCTTAAAAAAAAAAAAGAATATTAACAAAGTCTGAGGTGTCAAAAATGTTCTGGTAGATAATACTTTCTAACTAGAGATGTAAACATTAAAAACTTCTAAATATTTCCACTCAAAACAAAGTGAAAATGTTTTGGCATCTAAAGGATAAGTTACAGTTTTATAAATATTTCATTTCTTATATATGTTTAAGGAAAGTGTTGAATGAATAGTTCCAATATAAAAATGATATTCACTGAGCACAATGATAGGAAAGTTGAAGAAGCACTTGCTGCTGCTACATGCTTATTTTCATTTTATCTGACAGAGTAAAATCAGATATAGGCTCCTCTGAAACATCACAAATGAACCATCTATCTTTTGTCATATTCAATTTGACCTGAAAATAATCACTCGACAACCTCAATAAGAAGTTTCACATTGGAACCATAAGCTATACTCATTTATAATTATCTCCCTTTTTCTGTCATAGTGTGAATAAACTTGGAAGGATGGCAACATACACAGTCTCACTCTGAGCTGCCTTGTGTCTAAGGTCCAACAGCACAGACAACGTCAATTCAAACACTCAGCAAAAACTGAGAGAAGCTTCACCCCAAAAAATCAAACAGTGACTTTTACTCTTCAAAATATATCAGTATGCCAATCTGCTGGCTAGAAAAAAAAATCACTATTTTTGGATATTTAGTTTTAACTATAAACCAGATAGTCAATAAACTTTTCTCCAACCCAAAACATTTCAATCCTTCCATGGTAGATAAGGGAGACAGAGAATTCACTTTGAAATGTACAAGATAAATCAAAACTGGTACATTTACTGCATGTTAGGTAGCACAACTAGGAAAAACAAGAGTATCTGAATCGTAAAACCAAGACTTGTTCATAAAGTCGTGCCAGCCTGGCTCTGCCAATACTTACTGCTTCTAATGAACTAAAGGAAATAATTCAGTAAAACTTACACGCATTCAAAGCCAAGTTGAATTTTATTACTGCAGTAGGAAACCATAATGATACACACGCATAAACACCCACATATACAAACTCTCTCTGTCTCTGTCTCTCTCTCTCTCTCTCTCTCTCTCACACACACACACACACACACGTTTATGTACAAACAAGACTTAAGCTTTTTAAGGGGAAGCAATTTACTGTCTTGGAAAAAATACTTATTGAGTTTGGGATGTCTAAGTCTTCTGAAATTGAAATGTTTTCTGGACTTGGCACATTCTATTCTGTGGCATTTAAGAACTATTTCAGATATCTGGACTCTTAAATAATATTCCTCTATAGCTGTGGCATAGACATTGTTTATCAATCAATACCTGTGTTCTTTACAAACTCTTGGGATTCCACAAATGCGTCAGCATTATATGGTAAGCATTCATTTATGTTCTAAAAATCAAAGGCTTGTCGATTGCACTTTTAAAAAAGGACACCATAGTCTACCGGGAAGCAATTAAAATCTTACCTCTAGGGATCGGATAGTAGCCTGCATCTCAGCCAACTGCCGCACCTGTACTCTTTGGATATTTTCTGCCTGAGCACCAGAATTCTCTTTTTCAGCTCTTAATTCTGCTACTTCAGTCTCCAAACATTTTAATTTCTGACACAAGCGGACTTTTTCTCCAATAAGCTGTTCCACTCGTTTGCTATCTTTTGCAGGATCAACACTAAGTAGCTGGCTGTGCAGTTCTTCTTTATCTTTCTCCAGTCTTGCAATCTAACAATAATTTGAAAAAAAAAAAAAGCATAGAAGCTTAAATTATTGAATTTTTAGTCATGAACATGTGTAACAAGTCCATAAATTAAAATTAAAAATTGAATAATATGCAATCACAGGTGGCAAAATGAAGTGAAAAGGAAAACCCTAAAATGTCACATTTTTCCTTCTGTACTCAGCATGGCTATACAAGAGGACATGTCCCCCTCCATGAAGCCTAGCACAAGGCTTAATCAGCTGCTAAAATTCAAAATTACAAATAATGCTATAAAAATGATTACCTGAAGTACATAAAGAATCCTAAAGTTTATCTGAACAATACAAGGGTTCAGGTAAGACCTCTGCACTGACTACTGCTCAGCTACTCACTTGGCAATAACCGTGGGCTATGTCCGTACTAACAAAATTACCCAGCTCAAAGCCACTAATCCACACTACGCTACTTATCTGTGTAACTACAAATATGACAGCTGAGTGTTAAAGCCCTAGCTTTAAAGATGGCTTAGTTTTTTCGTTCTTAGATGCAAAAGAACTTACAGGCATATGCTCAAGTTCCTGCATAGTTTCATGAGAAACCGACCATCATCTTATTCCTGCCTACTATCACCCGGACCCCACTGGCATCACACTGCTTCCTACCCGCTGTGGCACTGCAGCTCTTCCTGCTTCCAGAGGTCAGAAGGCCAGGCAAGCAGCAGAGAACTCACTCGTTTCCCTCCCTGCCCTTCCTACCCCTCTGTGCCATACCATCACAGCACCAACACCAAAACTCTGGTGCTGACTATCAGCTTCTGTTTGTGGTCTCTTTGTACACTAAGTTTCTTCTTATGATTCAACTTAAGGTCACAAGTCAACAGTTTTTGGAGCTAGGATGAACTTCAAAGACACTCTCAGCCAAAAAAAAAAAAAAAAAGGAAAGGAAAGGAAGAAAACACCCTAATGGCACTTCTGAAGTAGGAGACGTCTACTCCAAGGGCAGGCTCTGTTTCCTTCATCTGTCAAATGGTACACTAGGGCCCTGCACAATGGCTCAACTAATCCTCCCCTTTCAAGTGCCAGGATCCTATTCGGGTGACAGTTCAAGCCCTGGCCACTCCACTTCCCATTCAGCTCCCTGCTAGTAGCCTGAGAAGGCAGTAGAGAGGATGGCCCAAAGTCTTGGGATCCTGCACCCACATGGCAGACCTGAAACAAGCTCTTGGCTTCAGATTAGCTCAGCTCCGGCTCTTGCATCCATTTGGGGAGTGAACCAGAATGGAAGATTCTTCTGTTTCTCCTTCTCTCTGTAAATCTGCCTTTCCAATAAAAATAAATCTACAAAAAAACAAAAGTATACTTAAGGCACTCTAGTCTTTCAGTCTAATTTGGTTTTAGACATGCTGAATTGTAGATGCCAGTAAGAAATAGAATTATCCAGTAGGGAAATACCCTCCTCTCCATCAAATACAATTTATCCTTGAAAGTAACTGCAGTATTTGCAGGTGAGTCCACAAAAACCTAACAATGAACCAACTCTGCTATTTTTCATTTCATACTTTACAAAATGGTCTTTCACCACTTTGTTTCCCCCCTCCATTATTTTTACTGAGCTAACTATGTGACATTATGCAAGTTACACTTTTCACTCTGATCTCAATAAAAAAAAAAAAAGAACTTGAACTGGATTAACATGTTAAATTTCACTTTTGCAAAAGGTAACCAATGTAGTTTTCATGTGCTGTATTAGTGGTGCGGCAGCTCTTCTAGCTCAGGGTGAAGGAATAACTCAGGTTCCAGCAATGCTGCCCTCACTGGGTATTCATTACTATGAATCAATACTGATTTGAGTGCTCTTCATAAGAATTTAACAGTGATATCATTTTCTCATATAGTACCTATTTTACATAAAATCATACAGCTAATGTTTTCCGTAGGCAGGTTTCCTGGATTATTATTCTCTCCATTAGTGTTAAAAGGCATTCGAATGATAGTAAAATGATAGCTGAAACTCATGACTGGATGACAAGTACCTAAATTACACATAGAGGATTAAATTACATATTGAAGACTCCTCTTACCAAAACTGGTGAGCAATGCCTTTAATTTTTCTACACAACAACGACTTACTGGATACTCACTATGCACCCAGAGCTGTTTTAGATATTAAGGGCAAAATCCAACAAGAAAACAAACAAAATCCTCTGCTGAAGAGCTCTTGACAGCTAGTCACCACCATGACCCCACTCTTCTCCCATGAATGGGACACAGATCTTGGACACATCCTCAGCTCTTTCCTCTTCTTCCACACTCACTCACTCTCATACGCCACCCTCCTTGTTGTCTTCAATTGGTTGCACTTTCCATTCTTCCTTTAAATTTCCACAGAGCTTTCTTTGAGTTTCTCTTCACTAACATTTATCCAAATCCGCCTGTACTGTACTGTAGTTACCTCTACATTTGCTTTACTCTCTTTTAGGATAAGCACTAGCTTGATGGGCAATATTAAGTGTTAACCAACTTCACATTTCAAAAGGTGTTGAAATAAAGAAACAGGCAATGAAACAGAGTAGGAACAGTGTGGTCTCCTTTTCAAAGGAAGACAACAATACTGCAGCTCGCCAGGGCATACAGAGGGGAGAGGTGGACTATCGCTCCCTTGATTTTTGTTTATTACCTTTACGGTGCAGCATAAAAACTTGGTAAGAGAACAAGCCTTGGAATCAAACTGTGTAACTGCACACACTTCGTTTTTCTTTTTCTTTTAACCATCTGAAAGGTATTCTGCTTTCTTCTGGCTAGCAGTATTTCAGAAAGAAATTTGTTGACATTTTGGCTACTCTGCACAAAATGGGTTTTCCCCTCTGGTTATCTTTTTAATTATGTTTGTAATTTTCAGGTAACAGCAGGTTGACCTGCAATGAACTATTGCAAGGAATGATACAGAAATGCTATGCTAATACCAATGGTAATTGTTCTTTGGGAGACACTGTATAGCGCTGATCTTAATTCTTCCTTAAATACTTAGTAGAATTCTCAGTTACATTGGAAAATTTTTCAATTGCAAATTCAATTTCCCCAAGAGCTATATGCCTGTTTAAATTACCCATTTCATATCAGGGGAGTTACAGAACTGATCCAATTCATCTACATTGTCAAAGTTGTTTGAGTTGTTCACAGGGTTATCGTAATATCTTTTAAAGTCTGGAAGGTCATGAGGGATATTCTGTTTCAATCCTGACAGAGGTAATGTCTTCTTTGTCTTGCCAGAAGTTTGTCAGCTCTTTGCTTCATTGATTTCCTCCGTTTTCAGCTTCATTGATTTCTTCTCTTGTGTTTATCATGTCCTTCCTTTTGCTCGCTTTGGTTTTTATTTTGATAACCTTTTTGTAGGTGCTAGAAGAGGAAGCTTACTGACTTGATAATTCTGTTTTCAAATGCATATATTTAGTGTTATAAATATTCCTCTCAGGACTGCTTTAGCTGTGTCCAAGAATTTTTCATGTCAACATTTTCATTGTTTTCTGAAACATAACTTTATGGCAGTGTTATTAAAATTGCTTTACATCCAACTGTTGGAAGCACATAACTTCATTTCCCTGTGCTTGAATATTTCTCAATTACTTTTCTGTTATTATTTCCTATTTTGATCCTTTTGTGGTCTGAGAACTTACTCTATATAATTTCGAGCACTTTAAGTTTACTAAGAGTTATTTTAAATCCCAGGATGTAGTTTATCTTACATGAGAATACCTCAAAAAGTTTACGGAAAATGTAATTTACACTATGAACTTATTTTGGCACCAAAAAAAAAATGAAATGTGTGCATACTATCTCCCTAATAGGCATGTTGCACATATTACAAACAAAAATATTTTCCAGCAAAGAGTTCATGCTTTTAATTCCATTTTTCTATGAGCTCTCTGAAGTACCTTCCTATATGTTCAGTGAACATCTCAAAATTTTGTTCTCTTATTGACAGGAATGTTGTACAAATATTCATTAAATTCTAGTGTTCATTCATTCACAGTGGTGAGTTATTCTACATCCTTGCTAATTTTCTAATTGTTCTATGAAATAAGATGCAAAGTCCCAAGTGTAGTTAAGTGTGTTTCTACTTTTATTTTCTGTGTCACACACTTTGTAGCTCTATTTGGTATATGTAATTTGAGCACTCCGATGTCTTATTGTGGATTGCCCTTGACAGAGTTTCTTTCTCTTCTCCACCCAAAATGAGCTCTCCAAATTAATGGAAAACATGCATTAAAAACGGAGCAGAGATTTTAAAAATTTCTTGCACTATTTTTTTAATTCCATTTTTCTATAATTCTATTTTTCCATGAACTGTTTGAGGTACCCTCTCTTGAATATTCTGAGTTTCTCAATTTGTTTTCATTTCTTCTCTGTTTAAAGTTTTGATTTTTTTTCTTTTTTTTTTTTTAAAGATTTATTTATTTATTGGAAAGTCAGATATACAGAGAGGAGGAGAGACAGAGAGGAAGATCTTCTATCCAATGATTCACTCCCCAAGTGAGCGCAATGGCCAATGCTATGCCGATCCGAAGCCAGGAGCCAGGAACTTCTTCCGGGTATCCCACACGGGTACAGGGTCCCAGGGCTTTGGGCTGTCCTCAACTGCTTTCCCAGGCCACAAGCAGGGAGCTGGATGGGAAGTGGAGCTGCCGGGATTAGAACCGGCGCCTATATGGGATCCCGGTGCATTCACTGCGAGGACTATAGCCGCTAGGTCACACCACCAGGCCCTGTTTTGATTTTCTTTTTCCTCTTTTCCTGGTGACTACTTCAACATTTTTTAGCATTCATTTAAACCTATTTATGTTTTAAAATTTACTTGTATTTTACCTTGCTATGGAGGAAGAGAGAGAGCAACCTCCCCTCCGCTGGTCCCCTCCTCACGGGGGCCAGGCTGGGTCAAGGCCAGCAACGCATCCAGGTCTCCATGTGATTGGCAGGTGCTCACTTGCTCGAGCAATCACTGCTGCCACCTCGAATGTGCATCAGCA